TCCCTCCCTCCCTCCCTCCCGCCTCATTTCCTGCTTGACGCACTTCCTTCCTGCCTTCCTGCCCGCCTGCCTCTCCCTCCCACACTCTGTATTAAAAAGCTTTGGAGAAACAATTTATCAGCATTCACACTGGTATGGGGTACAGACGTTCCTACATTATTTTGTCTCTACAATCCAGAAAGCATAAACCAGAGGTGCATCACTAGGCAGTAATTCTTCATTTTGCTCTCAGAAAGGGCCTTTGTAAAGTGCCCACAGAACTTCAGCTGTAGCACAACCACTGAATACTTTGGAAGATGTGTCAGAAACTAAAGGACAAACAGACTACAACAGCTGGAGACTGACTGAAAAAAACCAACAGATAAATTTGTACTTTGTTCAAATTAATCTTGAGATAGAATATTGGGCTCCCAGAAGAAGTTGTTATAAGACCTAACAAGGTAAGAAACGTCATTATACAGGGAAGGATATGCAAACATGCCTTCTCTTCATATTTAGTGAAGAGTCACACATTTTACAACATCAGATGCCCAGCCTTCACCTGTAAACATATTAAGTCATTTCTGTACTACAGTACGGTAATTGGACATCAGAGTCCCATTGCATACTTAATCGAGCAAGATAACGAAGAAAGACCAGAACAGATACTGGATATCTAAGTAGAGGTAAAACTGCTGTCAAATGGCCATTTTGAGAAACCACCAAAAACCTTGGTGGATACTTTGTCAATTTCCCCATGTTACAGATCTTCAGTGTGAGACCAAATTCAAACATACTGCCCAAAGCCAAGTGCTTGTGCACTAAAAGAATAAGGCTCACAATCCTGCTCTCATAACTTCATGCGTGCTAAAAGATGAAAACACATCCTCTTAATCAGACCATCAAATTTTAAAATAGCTTTTGATCATATTGTTTTAGTAAAGGTAGTTGTGATGGTTGCATACAGGGTACAGGAAAAGCATGCTTTTAAAAGACTGCAGCCAATGTCATTTACCAGAAATTATCTTGGCCCAGGATAAGTTGTAAAGGCCACCTTAAATTGTAGTAAGGTATTTATTGCCAGGAAGACTCTCTTTGATACAAATTTCCACATTTCTCTCCCCAGAACAATTGACATGTAAGTGGTTGGTCCACAGGTTATAATGTGCAAATGTTAATTGTTCTTTAAAGTGGCAATTGGGTGTTACCTGTCTCAAAAGTAAATAATACATTGATAAAACAGTAATAAGTTAGACTCTGCAAACACATACTCATGAGAATACTCTGGTCATACTATAATAATGAAAAATAGGTAGTAGCATAAAACCTTTGGAATATCTCCTAAAATTCTAATATATTATAAGCTGAGAAACTAAATTAAATTCATACAAGTGTATGCAGGTTTATTGTGTCACAATACAATAATTTGCAAAACATTATCTAATATTGGTAACTAGAGTTAAGTCCTCCACATGCTGCAGCACAGGAGTTCTTTAGATGAGACAGAGACAGCCTGTACCTGTCTCTGGTTCCATTAGCCTTCTGCCAGACTGTTCCTGAACAATCTCTTGAACATGCAATGCAGAAAAGAGACCAGGAAAGCACAGAAGAGAGGGATTATGCAAAACAATTTGGTGTCCTTCAGTACTTTTTTCTCTGAATGAGAACTGTATTGTATTTACTGAGCTAAAATGCCACAGGTATGTTGTAGACCAGAAAGAAGATATTAATCTTTTTTTTTCACAGGCAGTTCAGATATATATGATTATTGTCCTAAAGCAATGAAGAAAACCAGTAAATTTGTCTAGGCTTTGCCTTTGGTTTCATTTTCTCAGGATGAAGTGGGATATTTTCACTGGTGCAGTTACCTCTTTTTTCTCTCCTATTGTGCTGGATAGAGGCTGAGCTTGTTTATTCCATTCTTATTTTGAACATATAGGAAAGTATCCCTGTTGTCATTGGAAAGAGACTGTGAAGCACAATTTATTCCTTAATGAAGCAAAAGAGAAAAAAATAAAAAAGGAAATAAATAAGAAAAGCTAATAAGTAATTAACTCCATATATGCTAATCGAATTAAAGGTCTAGTCTAATCATACAAACTGGTACTAGAGGAATCTTCTTGGTCTTCAGGACTTACCTTGACTATGAACACAATACTGGCTTTTTTTTGCCACCACTCCTTACAGGACATTATGTATTGGACCCAGGAAGTATTTACATTCACTAGTGTTCATCTAACTGCATTGACGCTGACCCTGTATCTCTCTGAACTTGTGTCAGTGCCTTCATTTTGATAACAGCAGAGTGAGAAAAGGTTAAAGTAAAAATAACAATAAACCAGGCAATTTCCAGGCAATTTTCAGAACAGAAATGTTCTGAAAAGCACACCAACTTGTCCCTTAAAACTTGGGTATATATCATAGTGTCATGCTTTGCTACTTGATTTGCACAACTGTAGATACTAATGATGTTGTAGTGCTTTTTTTCTTTTCCCTACAGTCAGTAATTGCAAATTGACCTGACATACAAAAGACATGCATTGCAAAAGACATAACCTTGCAAGGTATTTTTCTGGCATGAAAATCACAGTTTTAGTGCCTTTTCCTCATGGATTGTTATTTTCTTGCAGCAGTTGGGAGAAATTTGAAAAAGTAAGAGCAGGTCAAGTACTTCAGTGGCTGCATGCTGGGATTTGGCTGGGGCAACAAAGTCGTGACCTCTTGAATGGTGGAAGAGCTGCTGACAATGGAACATGAGGTAGAAGTAAGTGAAAGAAGACCTCCCATCTCCTGCTGTCCTTGCTGAAGTAGGGGTCTCACAGTCCCCTTTAATCAGGATAGCAAAGCTTCATAACCTGTTGAAGGTACTTTGTAGATATCTGTGTCCAGCTCCTCAGCTTTGCAGTCCTCATAGAAAGGGAATCTGCTCTTAGAAGAAGTATAGGATAGCTGTGACAAGTCCTTCACAGAGGACTACACAGACTATCACATATGCTCACAGATTTACTTAATAATGATCCTAACTTCATCAGTATAGGTTTTCAAATATGCTTCTGCATAGGGTTTCTGATGGAGAGAAATAAAGATGCTACATAATGACAGTGTACGGGGTTTCACCTGGAAATAAAAAAATATAAAACTATCTGGAATGGCCTGGAAGCTGCTACTGTCTTCAAGATCACGAAAAACAATTTCAAAACAAAATTACAGGTTTTGTGCTATTAGGCTGACCCTGCAGGACAACACATTACTTTTGTGGCCTTCCATGTGCTTTCGTAAGGCTTGTGGCCTTACTTTCCTTGTGCTCAGTATGCAGAGGAGATACTTTCGATTAGGACCTCCATTTCCAAAAGACTTCACTTGCAGTTTATAATCTAAGTACATTGCATACTTCTGCTTTTAAAATTCACCCTTATGTTATGGTTTTGCTCATTTCAGAAAACTCTGGTGGTGTTGTAAGGCCAGAGATCACTGATAACACCTGCACTGCTGTCAAATGCTGAGGTCCATTATAAAAGATTTAGTTTTCTGAATATTAAGATGAAAGCCTCTCCAACCAAATAATGGCTAGATATCTTCAGGCAATAGAACCAGGAATCACGTGAAGGAACACAGGTGCTGAAGAACTACTTCCTATGTTGGTTTAAAGCCTATCAATTCTTGTTATTGTACAATGAATGAAACAGTAATCTCTATGAGATAACATAACAACTCATCCTTCCATTAAAACTGGATTTACAGTAGTAATCTAAATTATTACAGCAGCATTGATCTAGATAATTGCTTGCAGAGCAAAGTCTGGGTGCAGAGTATGTAGGAGAAGGCCTTTTGAAAAGGCTTTTTTTAAAAACTCTTTCACAGAAATCAACCTGAATTGCTTGTTGAGAAGCAGCTCCATATTCACTGCTGCAATAGCAGACAAACTAAACACATAGCTTCATGACAGTGTGAAGGTGTTTACTGGCAAGTATGTTAGAATGAAAAAAATTAATGGGAAAAAAAAGGGAGCATCTAATCACTGCAAGTGACCTTCAGATGATAGATAAAGTTAGGGGGAAAGATACAAGCAAAAAAAAACACAGTGGAGCACAATAGGCTAAACTTATCTCAAGTATAACTCCAGCCAGCTGGCCAGTATCTGGTTGTCAAAATATGTTTAATGGGGAAAGAAAGAAAGAAAGAAAGAAAGAAAGAAAGAAAGAAAGAAAGAAAGAAAGAAAGAAAGAAAGAAAGAAAGAAAGAAAGAAAGAAAGAAAGAAAGAAAGAAAGAAAAAGTCTAAAATCTGTTCTAAAACATAGTACATTGGTTCTGTTTGGATGAATCAGTATGCCTTCTGTAATGACATTCTTTGAGATCAATTGCTCATTACTGTACCACCAGTATCAAGATATGATCCTTGCCATTTTTCTGACCCCTTTCATCACCCTTCTTTTTCCCCCACAGCGTTCTATAAATAGCCAATGTGCTATTTTCTTGTGATCACTGTAAACAGGGGTTTTAGACATCTTTTTACCTATATCACCATGGAAACTAGATCTGTGTATACATCTAAGATTAGTCTTTCTCTAGAGGCCTTCATTATCTATGCAAGCTTACGGCTAATTGTTCTGCATAAGATACGGGTGTCTTATTCCTACCTACCACTTCGGAAATTCATTTCATGTACTTGCACATAACAAGCTGTAAAGAAGGTTTTATGAAGCCAATAATGCAGATATAATACTTGAGGAATTCCTTTTGGATTGGATATATTTATTTTTCCAAACATTTTGTTTGAGAGAAAATGAGATTGCTATCTGCTGTTTCCTTATTTTTTGCAGGAAAGCAAAGGGTTGTTGACTTCCTCTCCCCTCCCTTCCTTCCTTCTTTCTGAAGGTACTGTACTCATCTGAAAAAAAAAAAAAAACCCAGAACGAAATGATTGTTCCTGTTCTCCTTCTTAAGTCATTTGAAGCATTGTCCCTGCTAGTTTTCTAAGTTTACTGCAATCTCTGCACAGGGGGGAGGGAGACAGTGGGAGACAGAAACAGATATTACAAACATGAGAGCAGGTAGTGTTTAGGGCAAGACTCCTTCCAGCTTCAACAACTGGTAAGTTAAGTAAAATGCTTTTATGGTTAACTCTTTAGAAATGCAATATATTTATCTGCTTTTGTATTAAGAAAAAGTGTTAATCAGATACACATTTAACTGATAAAAGAATAATAACCATATGCATTAACAAGCAGTCTATTTACGCTAGAGATACCTATAGTCTGGTTTTTAGATACTGGTGCTATTACCATATGGTCTAACCTATGCAGATAGGAAAATATTTTCCAATTAGGCTGATAATATTCACAATATAATCGGCTGTGAATTTTGCGTATGTAAGTCCTGCTACTGGAATCTTGTTAAAGGCTTCACTAACTTTATCACAACAGTTCCAGCAAGATTCAATGGGCCATTGCTAAAAACATAGAGAGGAGCTGTGTCATACAGGAATCAATGTATTTCATTTATCATCTGCCAGTACTGAAGTCTGCTCCAACACACCAAGCTGTGCTGTACTGGGAGAAGAATTACTGGGGCTGTTTTTTTTCTCTTCAAACTGCATTGTGTTTAGGATTCCACATGTTTATCTCTACTCATCTGTGTATATGATTAGTCTAGGAACAATGACATTTAAGAGGTGGTAAGCTGGTTCCTGGATCTCACTTGGAAAAAAACAGAACAAAAGAAAAAGTTCATGTTGTGCAGTACATAACAACACTGAGGCTGATCACTCATATCAGTAATAGGATGGACTCAACTGCATATCTCTTGTTTGCATTTTTGTAGACCTCAATAATGTTTTTTCATGTTGATCATAAATGCATCAGAATGATCAGAACTGCCATGTGAAATGAGTTAATGCAAGAGTATGTTTCAAATACTGTATGAGAAAAATCCCCCCCTGCACGCTTCTGAAGAAGCAGAATGCAGAGGTGGGGCAAGAAATAGGACAGGTATCCATTTCCCTGCAGAAGGAGAATTTGCTCATTTTATGATTAAGTATTTCTTCAAGCTGCTGCTCTCTGAAGTGCAGGGTCCTCTGCAGGATGCCCACAAATCAAACAGAGAAACTACAAATGGTGGGCAGATATTGCAGAGGGCTGGCAGGCAGCTCCAGCTGCCCTGCTTTGAATCCTGCTCCCGCCAGGGCACCTGGGCTGCGCTTCCACCCTGGGACAGCCTCCTGCTTCCACCCCTCACTGAAGCAACTAGTGGAAAGGACTTTCTGCCTCCCTCCATCTGGTGTCTTTCTCAGGTTTTTCCATAGGAAGAAATGGTGTACCACAGATTCAGCCCAGTTTCTGGGTAAGTTGTAGATTCTTTATGCTTTGGGAGCAGCCAAAGGGGGCTCTGCCAAAGGAGATGGAAATAACTTGTTTCTTGAACTCCTTAGCTTAATGTTGCCACCCACTCTAGTTTGGTACAAGTTAATAGTTTATTCGGTTATACTTAACTCACAAACAATTTGTTATCTGCTAATAAAAAATGTATGCCAGGTCTTGCTGTGAAAACCATTTACCACATCTTGACCTTGGGATATCTGGGTTTATTTTTATGTGATAGATACAGATATACTGATTGAAATTAAAGAAATTATTTGGACAGTTATTTTGATAGTTACATGACAAACACCTGGAATACCAGTTTTTACGTCAAGTGTGATGTATAGAAGTCTTCCAAACACACACAGAAAATTACATAAGTTCTGTGTTCGTGGTGGTATCTTGTTCAAACTGCAGGGTATTAGTCTGGATTGCAATCACTTGTAAGTTTTTGTTCTGGTTGGCTCAGAAGTTCAGTTTGCCATGTAGATAAAAGCAAGCTGCAGCCTTTAGGTACAGATTTTATTTCTGAAGATGTTATGCATTAGTGTATTCTTGATTTAAACCATATATACAATAAATGCTTTCTCTGAGACATTGTCTGAAATACATAAATATGAAGAAAATTTGCTCAAATCATAGTAGGTGAGCAAAAGCAGTACATACTGTTTTAAAACCCAGTCCCCAATAATAAGCACAGAGAAAGAGTTTTTTAAAGGAATGCTTAGTAATTTGCGTAGTAAAATGCTTAGTAAAAAACAGACTTTGAATTTTGAGTTTCATTCTTATATTTTACCTATTAGGTTTACTTTCCTTTAAAAAATACATCTTTGCAATCATTTGGAGTTTATTTATTTTCACTTTGTATAACTTATTGCCACAAGCACTGTAACATGATTTAGCACAACAGAAGCTTGTAACAGAACTAGGATCTTTCTTGAGGTGTCAGGAGGATGATTTTTTTTGGCTGACATGTTATTCCTACATCCCTGAGATATTTACAGAAGAGAAAGGTATAATCTGAGTCTGTATTTGGTACAGATTTGCTACTAGTTTGCTGCACAAAATAAATACCTGTGCAATGAACTTTCAGTTATTTACCCCAATGTTTGTGAGACACTGGACTGTTAATGGTTAATGACTCAACTCTTAAAATTATAAAAATATTCACACAAGAAGCCAAGAATAAAAAGAGGCAGTTTGTTTTTATTTTGCTTAAAGTCTTACTGCTTCTGCTGCTAATAGCCATATTTTTGTGTATAACATAAATAAGTAAATGGTCAGTGTATGTATTTCTTCAGAGAATTATTTAAAACCATTATTTCCATTTGATGTGTTCTCAATTATAATGAAATAAAGTATAGAAGAATATTGCTTTTGTTTGGAAATAGAAAAAAAAAAGCTATACCAGTAATGGCAGAGAGGTTACAGAAACAGTTTGTACCCTGTGGAAATCCCAAGTTTACAGGTCTGGTTCAAACAGCATAGAAGCTAAGTGAAGTCTTTCTGTAAATGTCATTTGCACTTTTATGTTTAAGACCAGCTTCTTTAATGGTGTAGACTACTGAGACTTTTTGTCAGTACAGACTAGTAGCACTGAGTTACATTCCTAGTAACATTTTGTCATGTCTAATGTACATTTTTGACTAGAAGGTAATTTGAAGCTTTGAATATCAAGGAAGTTTTTTTTTTTTTTTATAGTCTTTCATTTTTACCAACAAGTGCATCAACAAGAGCCTTGTCTTAGGACTATCTGGGTGCAGAGCAGATGGTAGGGGTTTGACAAACACTGTGCATTTCACAGATAAACATAGTGTTGTGTCTTTAAGGTGCTGTTCCAAGTAGTCCCAGAGAGATACACAGGGTTTAGAACAGGTTAAGCATGAAGGGATGAATCATGGAAGCAATCCAAGACAAGCCCATACACTGAGACAGAAGAGTATGTATCTCAGACAACACTTACGTTGTTTTCAATCTTTGAAATTGCAAAGACTCAAAGGTGCAGAGAGATTTCTGAGTGGCCTGCTCCACTCTTCTGGACATGTCAGCAGAATGGCATCAAAAGAAAAAAAAGCAGTAAAGGCTGCATAAGGTAATGGGGATTTTCTGTGGCTGTGGTTAAGGGACACAAAACAACAGTGTGTAAGGCAACATCTTGCATACTATTTGATATGAAATGATCCATAGTTTCTGAGCACCAATGTATGTTCTTCAGTACCAATGGATCCAATCAGACTGCTCCTCAAAACAGACCTTATAAATGCTGTGAGACTGCTACAGGCTGTTGTCAAATTATTCTGTTGTTAGATTAATTTTATAACCCAACAAATTCTTAAAAATAAACCACCAATTAAAACCAAATAGTTATTTTAATAGTTATTTTCTTTTTAAGTCCAGTAGTTTTCCATGATCTACCTTGCAATCTCAGAAGATCACAAAAAAGAAAGGAATGTCATCTTGGAGAAGAAATAATTATAGAGACACAAATAATGCAAAGCCTTTGAAAAGAAAGAAACAAATTGGGGGGGAGGGGGGAGGGGAGGCAAAGAGACTAAAATTTGGTTTGGATTATTCTTCTTTTTCCGTAAATTTTCTATTCTGAAATTGAGATTGCAGCTTTCCATTGCCGTAAAAATGCAGTAGCATTTTATAAATTATATTCAGATTTTTATCCAAAGAAAAGGCCCAAGTTAATCCGCAGCAGTTATTTAAAACATGCATTGAATTGTATGTTGATTGTGTATTTTTTGTTTACATATACCTGACAGGGACTAGTCCTTCTTGCTTGACTTCTAAAATACTTATGATCCAATGAAAAATATTACTTAATGTTTGGTTTAGCTCCTTCCAAATGTAAAAATTTTTTGACTTTCTTCTGTAAAACAGGTGGTTTTATACATATTACTCTGCTCTTGATAAGTGAAACACAGCATTTTGTTTCTCATGTTTCTCAACTAACAATTCTTAATGTACTGTAAAAACTTGTAATGTCATTGGTAGCAATTAAGCTAAGTAATCATGTAGTAAAAAAAAATATTTTTGTGCTCTGGAGATTATGGGAAGAAATTATGTGAATAATTGCTTTTTTAAAAAAATTTAATTTCTAATTTCCTGCTTTTCATGTTAGAAAAAACTGTTATTAATTATTTAAATGTAGGATGAAAATACCACCCTATTTTTAATTCCTAATCCCTTCCTCCCTCTTCTACCACAAAAGCTAAAACACTAACACATTTTCCTTCTATTTTGTGGATGTGCAGAAATTAATTTGATGTAAAGGAAAAATCTTAGCGTGAAAAGTGTGTTCCCTGGAAACCTATTTTCCCCTTTCATTCTTCAAAAAGTAAACCTGGAAATACTCTACTTTTCATCTGAATATGCCCATTAGAAGAAGTAGAATTCAGAGAACACTGAAAAATACAAAGTTGGAGATTGGTTTAACTACTAAAAGCTACAAGGTAACTTGAGTCTCCTACACTGATAACATCACCTTTTGCTAAGAACTTGAGACAGGTACAACCAATTTGAAATTGAAAGCAAGGCTGTGAGAAGGAGCATGCCTTTTTATCTGTTTTTCTCCAATGATGTTGTAGTAGAAGGGATGATAATGCACAGCAAGTAGGCATCACCCACAGACAGTCCTCTGTCTGGAGGCCTGATGAAGAATAGACACCACCTGATTTCCCTGCATGGAAGAATCTTGGTCTTCCCACAAAGGAGGACCAGATGTGATGG